CTTTTTTATAGGAAATGGATAACACATCCACCATACTTCGGAGAAAGACGAATGGATTCTTCAGTGCAATACATCTGCAGGATGTGGTATTTTTTTCTTTACTTTTTGGTTATGAAGTAAAAATCGTATTCGAATGGTTAATGAATCCTTTCTTTTATTTTCTTATCTTTTGTTCAAACTTTATTTCTTTAGTCCTTATTACCTATCTTGACTATTTTTGTTACAGGATTTTGGTTATGTAGATCGTGAGTTTGCTATGTTGTTTTTCTTAGAACTGGGTAATTAATGGTGTCTTATTGATGACAAAAATAATAGACACATCGTGTCCTATAATATGGATTTACATAAACCACTGCTGACAGAAGGTTGGGTTGACATGAGAAAGTTTTACAATTTAACTGGGAACAACTACATGTTATTTCAATATGTAGGTAACAATACTTTCCAGATAACTATCTTCAAAAGTTCATGCGCACCAAATACTCTTCAAAAGTTTTTTGCCCGTGTTGAATGGTGGGATGAATTAGTTTTTTTTACAGTAAGAATTACCAAATCTAGAAGCACTGCAAGTCATTTGGTATGATTTTTATTCTCATGACATTATTTTATAACCTAAAACTTATGTCCCTTTTTTTCTCATCCTTATCGTGATCTATTAATTTGTAGTCTTTGTTTTTAATAGGACTTGCCAGTGGATTTTGCAACTTATGTTCGGAAAGGTAGATTTAAAACTATAATACTTTGTGGAAAATATTGTCGAGTCAAATGTAAACTTTTGATTAGAGATTCACCGAGGAAGTCCACCAAAATTGGCAAAGGATGGAAGCAATTTTGTCATTCTAATTACATAATGAAAGATGACCACCTCATGATTCAGGCTAGCACCCCTCCAAAAAATACAATCAAAATTTTTGCTTGGAAATGATACAAATGTTTATGTAACAATGTATGATTTGTTGTTGTATTAATTTATATTAACTTTAATGGTTTCTTTTGTCGTTCTTCATGAACTATACATGTTCATATACTCTTTTGTCTTTTTGTAATAGCACAATCATGGTTTTTAAGATTAATGAATTTCCTTAGGTACTCGACAATGTCCTTAAAGGTTACTGTATGACTGGGAACCATTTCATTTTGTTTCAATATGTTGGACATTCTATTTTTCGAATAACAGCAATTAAAGATACTTCTACACTTTCAACAACTGTGAAGAACTTTGAGGATCACCTTTCATGGTGGGAAGGTTTAGTTTATTTTCCAATAACACTGACTAAATCCCAAAGCAAAGTCATTTGGTTTGATTTCTATTCTTATTTTCATCCTTATATTAATTGTTTAGCTACTTTTTATTATTATAGTGATATCTTACTTTTAGCGTTCAATATTTAATAGGATTTGCCACTGCATTTTGAGGTAGATTCAAAACTTTATTACTCTATGGAGAAGTAAGTCATGTTCGTTGTAAACTTCTGATTAGAGACCAACCAAAAAAATCCTCCAAATTTGAAAAAGGGTGGAAGCAATTTTGTCATAAAAATGGATTGAAGGAAGGTCATGAAGTGATATTTCAAGCTGGCAACAATTCAAAATACTTAGTCAAAGTTTGGTTTTGGATATGATAATATGACTTATGTAATAGGCATTCTCTTTATAATATAGTTAAGTTATTGTTTTAGGATTTTCTTTTGTAATATGTCTATCATGACTTTTGATCGATAATTGTTTCCTGTATTTTGAATCTTAAATGTTAAATTTCCTACTTCTGCACAAAATATATATATATATATATATATATATATATATATATATATATATATATTCTCTCATTCCAATCTATGTTCTCTTCTGTTATGATCTAAACATATAATATTATATACGGAAAATTATTGTCATAATTGCCACTATATCATATATAGATGTTTTTGGTTAAAATTTTCCTTGAACATGTCAAAACAAACAAAATTGAAATACATTGTCAAATTAGGGTATGTGACATTACTGGACAATTTTGTATACAAATCAATAGAAGAAAAGTTACACATTGAGTGTCTTGAATAATGTTATAAATGAATATGAATAATGTTTATAGACAGTTTCTATTTTATCAACCATCTGCAGCAGTACCAAAATCCCAGGTTATCTATTTCAATGTTCAATTATCTTTTCATTTTGTTGCTTTTCACAAAATTTAGTCAACTGCCTTAGAATAAGAAAGACATAGTGTCAGCAATAGAGTGGCTGGAAAAGACAAAAAATATTGTACCTATTGTAGTAGATGCATAAAGAAGATACATTATGCCTTATGAGAAACTTATGTTCAGAAAGAATTACCTTATTTGTGAATTATAGATTGTAGTGCAATGTTCAAAGTTGACTTTGCTTTTTACCTTTTCCAAAATATCACACAAAATTATTACTGCAATTTATAACCAGTAACTAATTTTAGTATTTTGGTCATGCTATTACTATATTTTGTTACTCTTTTTTTTGGATGAGTTTATGCAGGTATGTTGCAGAAATACTTCAAGGAAGTGTTCGAGCTAAACTTTTGATGGAAACAAAACTGATTATATGGGATGAGGCTCCAATGATGAATAGATTATGTTTTGAAGCATTTGACCGAACCTTGAGGGATATTACGAAAACAACAAATGTAGAGAATCATGATAAACCATTTGGTGGTAAAGTTATTGTGTTAGGAGGTAATTTTAGGCAAATTTTGCCTGTTGTTAGAAAGGGATCAAGACATGATGTGATGAAGTCATCTATAAATTATTCTAAAATATGGACAAATTGCAAAGTTCTAAAGCTTACAGAGAATATGAGGTTAAATATTGCAAAAACAAATGATAGTGCAAAAGATATAAAAGAATTTGCTGATTGGATATTAAAGATTGGAGATGGAGATGTGCCTTTGAATGAAAATGGTGAAGGACATATTCACATACCCAAAGATCTTTTAATTGAAGGCAATGAAATCCCTTTACTTTCATTAGTTAATTTTGTCTATTCTCATTTTGTGCATAACATGATGTATGCTGGTAATTTTGATGATGGAGTCATACTTTGTCCTACTATTGATACAATTGAGGAAGTTAATAATTTAATTTTATCTTTGATTCCTGGTGAAGAAAAAATATACTTGAGTTTTGATTCACCATGTTAATCAGATGAGGATTAAGAAATGCAAGGTGAATGGTTTACATCCGAATTTCTTAATGACATTAAATGTTCAGGTATTTCAACTCATCAACTTAGATTAAAAGTTGGTGTTCCCATAATGTTGTTGAGAAACATTGATCAAGCAAATGGTTTATGTAACAGAACAAGATTGCAAGTGAATGATTTGGGAAAAAATGTCATTTCAGCTACTGTAATTGCTGGAAAAAATATTGGAGACAAAATCTTTATACCAAGAATGAATTTGATTCCTTCTGATCCTGAATTTCCTTTCAAGTTTCAAAGGAGACAATTTCCATTATCATTGTGTTTTGCAATGACAATCAATAAGAGTCAAGGTCAATCACTCTCTAAAGTTGGACTTTATCTTCCGCGTCCAGTATTCACTCATGTCAGTTCTATGTGGCAATTTCTAGAGTCAAAACAAAAAAAAAAGGACTGAAAATGCTTATATTGGATGAAGAAGAAAATGTAGCATCATGTATTAAAAATATAGTATACAAAGAAATCTTTGAAAACCTCTAAACATGTGCAGGTACACTATTATACGAAAAACTACATGTTTACTTCATTTATTTGTTATAATTTTTAATTATTTATTTTATGAAAATACATATTTATGATGTTCATTATTGCTTCAAAATTATGCTCATTCAATGATCATAAAATTGTACAATTGGTAAATTTTATTCACAATCATATAACTATTTTACAAATTATATATTTTGTCATTGTTTATTCTTTTTCTTCCTTTATTGTTTAATTGTGCAAATTATATATTTTGTCATTGTTTATTCTTTTTCTTCCTTTATTGTTTAATTGTGTAATATGTATTGTGAAAAATAAATTTACAATATTTTTCACTAGATTTATCTTTTTTATGCAATATATCAAATTTATAAATTATTATACTAATTTATTTTGGTTTTTTATTAGTGCAGATTATACAAATGTGTTACATTGTATTATTTATTATAGAAGGTATTTTTTAAATTTTGTATGATATAATTTTATCGATTATATTTTGTATTTATTGTAAGTTTTTTTTTATTTTATACAATTTTTTTAATATAATTTTTTCATTTAAAAATTTTACAAATTGAAGATCATTTATAACATTTCTTTTTAATTAATACAATTTATTAATACTAAAATATTATTTATTATTAATATAAAAATTTCAAAAATTTATTAATATTAAAATATTATTTATTATTAATATAAAAATTTCAAAAATCCCGTGCGTTGCACGGGTTATGATACTAGTATATTACAAATTATAGTTTTAAACTGGGAATTTATATTTTTTAAAGAACTATCTATAAAGTTGATTCTGTTTGATCATGTAATCTGAGTGGTATGTGACATTGGGGTTTCAGCGACAAAAGAAGCAGAGCTAGTAAATGTTGCCATGGCCGCATATTTGAAAGTAATCAAGCCGTGGCTGAGTATGTTATTCGTATATTTATTTAATGTAGTTTAGAAATCGATAAAGTCACCTTTGCTTTATGTTGACCCTTGTACACAAATTTACAGTATATTAACTCCTGGTGGATTTAACGTTCCTGGAATTGACCCACCCTGAGATCCTACACAACATAAGATGACGTTGAATTTTTTTAAATTTGAAAAATGTTTTAGAAATGAAAATATATAACATGAAAAAAACTTATATAATAAAATATAACAAATAATAATATCTTCATCTTAATTATCTACATCAAAATAATAGTCTAATATTTGTTATCTATTTCTAATATTTTACAAAATTGAAATATTTTAAAATTTTTCCTAACAACTAATTTAAATAAAACACTTTAAACCATCTTCAGACAAACTATTACAATTTGCAAGTCGTACTTGTTGTTCAGGGTGCAATCTATGCGACTATCCTTCACCACCTTGGTGTCCTTGGCCTTCCCCTGAAAAGACCCTCAGACATATAGTCATAAATGGTTAGTTCTTCAAACTAGCAATAATGTGTACATTATGCTTCTGCATGCTTGTTATACCTTAAAGTATTACTTCATCATTATCAATTTCCTATTTGGTAATTAATGAGTAAAATGAAAATTGATGTCTGGGTTGATATCCACTTACCTGAAGGTGGTAGCAGTTGTCCGAGAAGTCTCTCCTAGACTGAGTTTCTTAAATGGGCTCTCAGATTCATCATCAAGTAGTTCAATAAGCATGGCTTCGTTCTCAACGGCCTTTGCCAGTTTTTTGTCATCCTCGGCATTATGGAAACACTTTCTTTCCTTAGCACCGTTGACTAGATTTCTCCATAGAGAATCACTACTGCTTAAAGTTTTTTCATTCCCTAATATCCATAGGCAATGTCTGCTCAAATTAAACCCAGTTTTTAATCAATTTATGTCTTTTCTCAGAACTTGAAAGCAGGAATGCATGGTTATCTTGTATAAATAACATACCTAGCCCGAGTCAGTGCCACATTGGCTCTTTGCCGATCGTCAAGGAAACCTATATCTCCATTCCCATTTGATCTGACTGTGGAGATTATTATTATATCTTCTTCACCACCTTGAAAACCATCAATAGAACGAACACTAACAGAGAAGTTAGGATCAGAAACCAAATTTTGCCGCGTAATTCTCTTCTGGATTTCAGACACCTGACCATTATATGGAGATATGATTCCAATGCTAACTTTCTTCTTTGACCTCAAAAATTCTGTAGCAAAAAAAGGAGTTATATCCATTGTATATTATTGTATCCAAAAGGAGTTTTCTTATTTGAGACTAGTACACCAAACAATTCACAAACACATAATTGGAAACTAGAAGGAGGGAGAAAAAAGTAACCATTTTCAAGGCTTTCAATAATCTTGCAAACAGCCGCAGCCTCAGCCATGTTCTTCCACCCGTGTCCACGACCAGGTTTCTTCTCTTTACCCTTAGCTATGTTTATAAATGAATATGAAGCATACATTTTTCCTTCAAGGAAACGTCTATTATATCTCATTTCTCTGACAAAAGGAGCATCAGAAAGTTGCTCTTCGTAGAACTCCTTATTTGGGAATAAGCTGATGGATGGGTGCATTCTATACTGAATATTAAGCAGATTCTTCTTGTAGCCCAATGAAACCAGCCTCTCAAACAAACTTCTTCCATATTCAGCCTCTTGAGAAACCTAAAATTTGATAATATAGTCATATTAGAAACTAAACCTTAATAGAGTGCACACTATCCAATCACTAAGATGACACAAAAAAAGGCAAGTACCTGGCTTTTGACTACTGCAGGAAGCTGTCTCTCATCACCAATGAGGATTACATGGTGAAGGCCTCCTAGCTGCAATGGAATGGTTGATTCACATTCTTTCAGCTGCGCTGCTTCGTCAATAACTAAGAATTCTACTGGTGTCATTCCATCTTCGAATAATTTAGAAGAACATGATGCAGTACAGAAAATCAGGTGTGCACTCATCAAGCAAAATTTTGCCATTTCATATTTGTTAGTGATGGTTGGAAGTAAAATTGTCTGAGAAAGTAATTTCAGTTTGACAAGGCAATCTTCTCTTTTTATGCTTAACCTTGGAAGGATGTCAAGAATGCTTTCTCCATCCTCACAGCCACAGGAAGTTTGCTTCAACTTGGCTTTACACAGGGAGTTTTCAAGAGATCTTAGCAAATCAATAGCTATAGGAATTTTCTTTATTTCCGCAAGTGGAATTAAAGAAGTAGGTAGCTGTGTTTGCAAAGTTCCCATGTTTATCTCTATTTGCTCTCTATTGGAACGGAATCTCTCCATAAAAAATTGATCCAGTGTCTTGATACTTTTCCTTTTTTCATCCTTGTATGAAAGGTATTGCGCTATAATGCAAGTGGATTCCTTCTTCAAAAATTGCTCTAAGGTCAGGGGATCATCATTCTTCTCATTGAAGTACTTTTCCCTAGCAAATTCTTCCAATGACTTAAGACCATTTTCTTCCTCACGCTTATATAAATCATATTGCTCTTTGGGGTACTCTAGCAACTTGATCACTGATTCCAACGAATGTTTCCATCCAGAACACTTCAAAAGATTATCTACACGATAATCAAGAAAGACATTATTGAGGCCCCGAAAAGAGTCTACTTTCATTCGAGATTTATTGCCAAATAAAACTATGTCACCGTAGCCAATATCACACTCAAGTGATTCCTTAACTAAATTATTCAGGCGAGCCGCCACTTCCAACACTGCAGTATTAGTTGGAGCACATGTTAATGTTCTGACTTTTAACTTGAGCAGGGAAAATAACAGGGAAGCCACTGTCTTTGTTTTTCCAGTTCCTGGTGGGCCCCAAATAAGTTTAACAGTATGATTATGACGGCATTCCCTCGAAGTAACACAGTTTAAAACTGCATCTTTCTGGGATTCATTCAGATTCTGAGACAGGATTATGCTTTCTACACTAGAAAAAGCTGCACTGTGGCTTTCACCATAAAAACAAAGTTGGCACTTTTCTCCGTTCTGTGAAATATAAACAAGAAAGAATAGTTATGAATAAATATGATATACATTCATTCAAAATACTAAAAAAAAATTTACAGTATCATCTAACCACACATTGTAGAGTATAATAATTTTTTGACTTTTACAATATCTAACTTAAAAATAATATTAAAAATGGTTTTTGATTGATTGACAGTGCAAAACTGACAGTACATGTCTAATACTCATTAGTTATTGAGGCAATCATGTTTCCTTGATAACTATGTAGTGAGCCAATCTCAAGAAAGTAACCCTAACAAAAACATTAAATTCCTTTCCAGATATTCAAGGACTGAATTTGAACGTACCACTTGAGCAACAAATTCATGAACATTTCAAAATATGTACGAATGCATAAGTTACCAATGCTACTTGAGTAAGAAAAAAAATGCTATTATGTTATCAAATAATATGAAATCTAATTGAGTTGACTTACTGATTTTACCTTTGAGTCAGGTTGCAGCACATTTTTTATCATGTTCAAGCTTGCACCCTCCAGCTGTTTGTTCAAGGCTTTCCAAATTCGAACATTTGTTGTGAGGTTCGAAAGACAGAAGGCATAAAGCTTTGGTGCACTGTTGCTCCCCAAGGAAAACTGAATGTCCATGTCAAACCTTTTGGATGAGAGTATTGAGATCTTGTCAATACTTTCTTTTATTCCATAAACATAACCAATATGGTAGTTTCTTTTGGACCTGTTCAAGTCATATACTGTTTTCGGTTTAATATCTGTAAAGGCAATGAGGTCTCCAACCTCAGGCTCATATTTTCCATTCACATCATCGTTGGTTTTGTTGACTGAAATTTGGTAGAAGTTCTCAATAGGTATGAAGCTTCTCGACCTTTCAAGTTCAACGCTCAAGATTTCACAAAAGGGAGCCCCTGACACGCCTTTCAAGCTTGAACAAAGTTCGCTGCGAGTTTCCTCAATCAGTGAAGGAATGAAGGAGTTCAAGTAATCTGTTGTTGATAAAAATGTCTGTGGGATCTTTCTTACCTGAGAGGAAACAATGCTTCAGGCTTACATACTTTTTTGAGAATAATGTTTCTGTAGACATCATTAGCTACTCTATACCATTGGAGAGAAAGATATTAAATATTTTATTCACCAAATAAATAAAATAAACAATCTCAACATAATATTATAATCACAAAAATATTATCTCTCTTGTCTTGACAGAATGTTCTATAGAAGTTATCACCATAAGTGAGATAAATGTAGTGCTAACAATAAAATAGCATGAAATCTATGAGTTCACACAACATTATATATCTAACAAGGAAATATTTAACAAAACAATCCATGAAAACATTGAAAAAAAAAAAAAATTAACATGTTGATCCAATCCAACTCGCGTGTTGATTTGGTGGATAACGTGTTGTGCAAATTGGGTTAGTTTACATAACTGAACCCAATCCAGTTTGATGATGAGTTCAATCCAATGCAGGTGAGTTCTCCAAATAGATGATAAACATAATTGATATTCTATGTACGTACAACTAGGTCTTCTTTGGATATAGGAAAAACAGATTTTAGAAAAATAAAACAAATCTATCTAAAATTAAAACTAATTTGTACATGAATCAATATAAACTTTATAAAAAGTTAATCACATATCGACGATGCGATGAGCATGAAAAAGGGTAAAACCAAACCAACCTTGTGCTTGCAGAGGTTTCCATTGAGAACATCCTTGAGAGTCCAAGAGAACACCGTCCCCACCAAATCAAGACCCTCTTCTTTGGCACTATAACTTCTCTCCATCATTTTCTCTTCGCCCTAACCACTCTATCAACTCTTTAGCAGAAGAATGTTGTGTGCAAACCAACACAAAAGGGCAGAGAATAAATAGTTTGAACAAAACTTGCTCAACAAGGTATACCTAGTTTAATATCCATGATGAAAGTTAAAAGAAGATTCTCATAGTTGATTCATATGGTCATCAAAAGTAACGTATTCGTACTATTCTCATAAAACATCACACGTAAAGAAATAACTAAGTGGCAAAGGGGTGTGTGTGATTGCATCAATCAAGACATTGACCCCAAGTCAATAGCAAAAGGGGTTATATTGATTACTTACATTGCATCTTTTGTGGAAAACATTGGAAATTATTATGACTACACTAATTATACGTTGCATTTTTTTTCTATCACTTCTAATATTGTCTATTAGTTTGTCCCCACTAATTGAAAATGTTGAGAACCAAAAATATATGTTGCTTAACATCTAAGACTGTCTGGTTTTTTCTCTTAATATTTTCAATATTTATAATATCTAAACTTTATTTTTTTTATATATAAAAATAATAATCTAATATTTTCCTTTTTTAAAATAATATTTTTAAAAATTGAAACATGATACAAATTTTCTAATAATTAATTTAAATAAAAAATAATAAAACATATATTTTCATGATCAACATATCTATTATAAATAAATATTTTCTATTATAAATAAATAATAGTATGCTTTTAATTTCCATACATTATTAGGATAGAGGTTTTCAGTTTTTTTTTTTTTAATGTGAATCAGTAAAAAATAATCATTAGTATGAATTTAAGGTACTTAATACTCTCTCCGTTTTTTAAGAATTTAAGGTTGTTTTTAAAAAGTAAATAATTGATTAAAGAATATAGAGTTTTAAAATAAAAGAAAATGCCAATAAAGATAAGTAGCGAAAAAATAACAGATTTATTTGTTGGAAATATTACTTTATTATCTTTTATTTAAATTAGGTATTAAGAGATTTTATTATCTTTTAAGAGAGAAGATAAAAAGACATTAGGTTATTATTCGATTTAGGCAGTTATGATTGAAATATTATGAATATTTAATATTTTGTAATATTTTTACTCTATATATACATAGAGTACATGAATAGAAACATACACACATGATATATCAGAAATACATATACACATAACCCTTCAAAAAATCCAACAAATTGGTATCTGAGCTTTGGTTCGACACAATGGAAGGAGAAAGAAATTTTTCACAAGTCGTTATTCCAGTTTTTGGTGGCGAAAGTTATGACTTATGGGCTGTGAGAATGCAATCTTATCTTGAAGGATTTGATGTATGGGAAGCTGTAGAAGAAGATTATATTATTGATCCACTACCTGAAAATCCCACTATAGCTCAAATGAAATCTCACAGAGAAAGAAAAATGAGAAAGGCAAAAGCTAAATCATGTCTGTTTGCTGGTGTTTCACAAATGATCCTCACCAGAATCATGACGCTAAAGTCACCCAAAGAAATTTGGGATTAGTTGAAAGATCAATATGAAGGAGATGAGAAAATTCGAGGTATGAAAGTTCTAAACTTGATAAGGGAATTTGAGATACAAAAGATGCAAGAGTCTCAAACAATTAATGAATACTCAAACAAATTATTAGGTATTGCTAACATAAAATTGTTAGGCAAAGAATTTTCTGATTCTAGAATAGTTGAAAAAATTCTGGTAACTGTGCCAGAGAGATATGAAGCATCAATTGTTTCATTGGAAAACACAAAATATTTGTCTAATATTACTTTGGCAGAAGTGTTACATGCTTTACAAGCACAAGAGCAACGAAGATTGATGAGAGGAGATCATGTCGCTATCGAAGGTTCTTTATTATATCATGATAGAGGTTCTGTCCAAACCAATAACAACAAAGGTACAAAATCACGAGTATTTTCTCGTTTGTCCTTATTGCAAGAAAAATAATCACACACCCAACAAGTGTTGGTGGAGACTCGATGTGAAATGTCACAAATGTGGTCAATTGGGACATATAGAAAAGATATACAAATCACAACCAGAGGAAGTCGTTCAAGTTATAGAGGATAGAGAAGAAGAGGTACTTCTCCTTGCATCAACATGCTCTACAATCAACAAATCCACAGGTTGGCTAATAGACAGTGGTTGTACAAACCACATGACTCATGATCGAAAATTTTTCAAAGAGCTCAACGAATCACATATTTCTAAAGTGAGAATTGGTAATGGAGAAGAAATGAATGTGAAAGGTACAGGAACAATTGCAGTTAAAAGTCATTCGGGTATCAAATTGATCATTGATGTTTTATATGTTCTTGATATAAATCATAATTTGTTAAGTGTTGCTCAATTATTGGAGAAAAGTTATAAGGTGTCTTTTGAACACAAACTTTGTGTGATTAAAGATACAAATAACTTAGAAATATTCAAAGTTCACATGAAAGGAAAAAGTTTCACTTTAGATTTGATGAAAGAAGAGGTGATTACAAATGAAGATATAAAAGAAAAGTCAAAGAAAAAGCATGAAGAAGATTTCTTGAAGGAATTTGATGTTAAGGAGGAAAATAAAGATGTAGATGAAGAAACCGTTTTCAACGTCCATCAAAGAGTCAACAGTACTACCATGAAGTTTGAAAGAAACAAAGAAGATGAAGTTGATAAAGGAAGAAATATGTTGATGAAGAAAGTGAAGAATGAAGATGTGATTTCATACAAGAAAGAAGATAACAAGAAGTATAAACAAAAAAGGAGGAAAAAATATATCAAATTCAAATAAATAGATATTAAAGTAAGGAGGAATGTTGGAAATATTACTTTATTATCTTTTATTTAAATTAGGTATTAAGAGATTTTATTATCTTTTAAGAGAGAAGGTAAAAAGACATTAGGTTATTATTCTGATTTAGGCAGTTATGATTGAAATATTATGAATATTTAATATTTTGTAATATTTTTACTCTATATATACATAGAGTACATGAATAGAAACATACACACATGATATATCAGAAATACATATACACATAACCCTTCAAAAAACCCAACATTATTTTCTCCCAATTAACTTACAAGAAGGCTGTTATTATTTCTATCTTCCTAACACTGACTTACAAGAAGGCTGTTATTTTCTATCTTCGAACACTGACTTTCCAGAAATCTGTGTATTCATAAAAATTTCTATATGTTGAAATATTTTGTCCATGAATTTCATAACAGCAAAAAATGTTCGACATGATAACAAACATGCTTGCATAGACAGGAAGAGAGGAATTAACAAGACTGGAACACATCTCACTTTTGCCGAAGGCAGACAACTGTTTCTCGTCTCCAATAAGTACAACATGACGAAGACCAGGAAGTTGTAAAGGTACATTTGACTCACATTCTTTAAGTTGAGCAGCTTCATCTATAACTAACATTTCCAGTCTGTAGTGTTCTATTGCACGCAATTTACCAGAGCTTGAAGCAGAACAAAAGATCATGCGAGATCTTCTGAAACAAAAGTTTTTTATTGAATATTCATCAAAAAATCAGGAAGAATGAACATATTTTGAAGACATTTCAGCAGTTTAAGGCATTCTTTCTTGGTCATACACAACTTAGTCTGCCAAGTACAACATCTAGCTCTACTTTGATCAACGATAGATATGGAAATGGCATCTTTAAATTCTAGATCAGTTATGGAATTGTTTGATAACACTTCTGCAAGGACTTTAAGCCAATCAAGACATTCAAATAAACTTTTCACCACTTTTAATGAAATAAAAGAAGTTGCCAAATGAGTACACATATCCACTACAAATGTCCTAATATAATTCAATTTTTTCTTCAAAAACTCATGAAATGTCAATCATTGTATTTTGTTCTCACGGAAAAGAAAATCCTTCTTCTCCTGCTTATCGTATTTGTTGAATATAGAAGAAATAAAGTTTGTGATTAATCTCCCTTGTGTAAAAATCACACATAGGATAGTCTATTTATATTAGAGAGATACAATTAAAAGAGTAATTGAAAGTAATAGAATAAACAGAAGATATTGTTTGATATTATGGTTAATATCTAACAATATCTTAACAATATTAAATAATATCTAAACAATATCTAACACTCTCCCTCAAACTGGAGCATACAAATCGTATGTATCAAGCTTGTTACAAATATAATCAATTTTAGGACCCCGTAAAGATTTAGTAAAAATATCTGCTAACTGATCACTTCAGTTAACAAACTCAGTCTTGATGTCTCCAGACATAATATTTTCTCGAATGAAATGACAGTCAATCTAAATGTGTTTGGTCCTCTCATGAAAGACGGGATTAGAACTAATATGAAGAGCAGCCTGATTGTCACACACAAGTGACATTTGAGTGACATCTCCAAATTGTAACTCTCTAAGCAATTGCTTGAGTCAAACAAGTTCACAAGCAGCTGAGGTCATAGCTCTATATTCTGCTTCTGCATTAGATCTTACCACAACACTTTGTTTCTTACTTTTCCATGAGACCAAGTTACCACTAATAGAGACACAATATCCAGATGTAGATCTTCTATCCGAAGGAGATCCTGCCCAATCAGCATCTGAGTAGCAAACAACTCTTGTATGGTTATTAGAATCATATAACAATCCTTTTCCAGGAGATCCTTTAATATACTTTAAGATACGAATGATTGCATTCCAATGATCTTCACATGGGGAATTAAGAAATTGGCTTACCACAATGACTGCAAAGGAAATGTCAGGACGAGTAACTGTAAGATAATTCAATTTTCCAACCAATCTTCTATACTGCTCAGAATCAGGTATAAGCTCTCCCTGATTTGGTAAAAGTTTAGTATTGGGATCCATGGGCGTATCAACAGACTTTGAATTCATCAACCCAGTTTCCTCTAAAATATTCATGGCATACTTCCTCTGAGATATAACAATAGCATCCACTACAAGAAAAATTCATTTTAGCGACCGAAAAAATCGGTCGCTAATGTCAAAAAATCGGTCGTTAATCAGTTAGCGACCGAAATTAGCGACTGAAAGGCGTCGTCGCAAAAAGCCAAGTCGCTAATGTGTTAGCGATCGATTTTTATTTCGGTCGCAAAATAGCGACCGAAATTAATATATCAAATTGGTCACTAAAGTGGTGACAAAGTAAAAAAAATAGCGACCGATTTAAATCGGTTGCTAAATTAATAACAAAATTAATTATTTTTATTTATTTACATTTTTAATTATATCAAGTTCATTAGACAACTTTTTTTTCTCCAATTGGACACAATTGTATTACATAATGAATGTTTAGTAGTTAGTAGTTAAGATGCATTCTCATCCATGAAATGTGGACCAATTTGTCATAAACTTAAGATTTGAGAAACATTTGCAAATTGAAACTGCCAACTAACAGTGACAGAAAAGATTTCTCATTGCCAAGTACTACTAAATGAAACTGTTACACTTAAACACTGCTATACACATAATTGTCTTTTTTTTATATGGTAACTCTAACACAACCTTAAGAGGGTGTCAATATTGTTTTCTGTGGACTTAAGACTATATTTCAATTGTAGAAAATGCATATATACCAAGAAAGGGTGAGACACAATAAAGGTGAACAAAAAAAAAATAGTATCATAGTAATGATACATTTCCCTTCATAAAACTGAATTGTAACGTTGCTTCTTTTGTGGTGTTGAATATGCCTGTTGTAACGACCCGCATCACTCCTCGCACACACACGAGCAAGAACGAGTCTTGCCCGCCTTTATTTTCGCACTAAGCCTAGTTATTTGTATAAGGAAGCCTTTAGAAAGGCCTAGACTTGACTGGAAGCTTCTAGAGGGCTCCAGAATTATGTAGATATGTGTAGAAGGGACAAGAACATCCTAGAACCTTGAAGAGACTTGTAGAAAGGGCAAGAATCATCTTGAGTTGTGTAGAAGGCTCTAGGACATGTGTAGAAAGAGTAAGATTTGTGTGGAAGGGTCTAGAAAGACCAAGACCCTTGTAGGATCTAGAGACTTCCTTAGAAGAGGTGGTGCCTATAAATAGAGGAGGCCCCCTCATTTGCAAATCATCCAAGCTTTGAGAGCTCACTTGTAATAGAGTTTGAGTAATAGAAGCATTTCCCTTCAAGTTCTCTTTTCTCGCTTTCTCTAGCCAAAGCACTTGCACACACCGAGCACGATCCCGAGTGAGGTGAGGCTGACTTAGCTAGTTGCGAAGGGCGCACGAGAGGCTAAGGCCGCACGCAACCAAGTTCGAGAAACAAGGGCGTGACAAGTGGTATCAGAGCAACTCTCGGTACCGTGTAAGTATGGCAGGGGAGAAGGAACATAATGCGTCTGGTTCGGGTGTAAGCGAGGAGCAAACCCGAGGGAGGGAACACACCACCGGGACCAAGGACAAGAAACGTCGGGACCAAAGCCGAGCTCGTGCGGAGGTCTCGCCGTTAGACCAAGTCGTTGGGGAAATGTCCGAGAAACTCGAAAGGGTCGAGTTCACCTTCAAAACGTTGGAGACACACGTCTTGGAGGAAATCGAGTCCGTCAAAGGTGTTGTCCAAGAGGGGCTCGATGCACAAAGCTCCACGGAGGACCGCTTGGATCACCTGGAGGACCTTGTGAAGGATCTCCAAGCAAGCATCGAGGGGATGCGTGAGGATCTCACTGTTTGCAAGAAGGCGATTGCTAGTGGGGAGGCTAGCAACTCCACGCCCGCACCAAGGGTGGAGTGTCCAAGGCCGACAGGCTACAATGGCGTAAGGGACGCCAAAGAAGTGGACAACTTCTTATGGAGGATGCAACAATATTTCGAGGGCATAAGTCTCACGGATGAAGCTACCAAGGTAAAGACTGCTTCCCTTTATCTTTCCGATACTGCTATGTTATGGTGGCGCAGGAAGCACAGCGATATCGAGCGAGGCACGTGCCGGATAGACACATGGGAGGACTTTGTCAAAGAACTCAAGCGACAATTTTATCCGGAGAACGTGGTGTACGAGGCCCGACGAAAATTGAGGGAACTGAAGCAAAAAGGGACCATACGCGACTATGTCAAAGAGTTCACCACCCTTTTGCTCCAGATTCCCAACATGACAGAGGACGACTCGCTCTTCTTCTTTGTGGATGGACTCCAACATTGGGCGAAACAAGAGTTACAACGCCGGGGCGTCAAGTCCGTTGATGATGCGATTGCCGCAGCCGAGTCACTAATTGAGTTTCGCCCATCATCATCTTCCGATGTCACCAAGAAGGACAAGAAGTACTCCGCCAAAGGTGGGGGAGACAAAAGGGACAACAAGAACCGAGATTTCAGAGACCAGCGACGAGCGCCGGCCAAGGAGGATCGAAACTTCGGACGCCGCAGCTATGAGGAGAAGAAACAAGCGTTTGTCCCTAAGGGAGGCTGCTTTGTGTGCAAGGGGCCACATGCCATGAAGGATTGCCCAAAGCTAGGGTCCCTCTCAGCCATCATGGAGCAGTCCGAGACTGAGACTAAGGAGGCAGAGCCAACAATGATAGGTTCGTTGCAAGTCCTCAATGCCCTCAATACCAAGCCCGAGCGCATCACGTCTAGCAAGGGGCTCATGTACGTGGAAGCGCATATTAATGGGACTCCGACAAAGGCTCTAGTGGATACGGGAGCTAGTCACAACTTCATTACCAAGGAGGAAGCCGCAAGGTTAGGACTATCTTGGTCCGAGAAAACTGGGTGGCTAAAGACTGTCAATGCCAATGCTCGTCGACTCGACGGAATTGCTAGCAACGTGAGTCTGCGCCTAGGGACATGGCAAGGACGCGTGAATTTCTCAATAGCACCCATGGACGACTTCAAGGTGGTACTCGGTATGGACTTCTTACGACAGGTAACAGCTATACCAATGCCATCCTTTAGTACTGTTTGTATATTGGAGAAGGGCTCTGCATGCATGGTTCCAACTATAGAAGGGGACAACAAGAGTGCTAGCAAGCAACTCTCCGCGATGCAGCTTGCCAAGGGGGCAAAGCGAGGAGAGCCAACCTACTTGGCAGTACTAAAGGAGAACAACCATGATGAGAAATCCCCGAAGGTGCCCTCCCTTATCCAAGGAGTCCTTGAGGAGAACAAGGACGTCATGCCTGCCGAGTTGCCAAGCAAGCTTCCACCAAGGCGAGGGGTGGATCACAAGATTGAGTTGGAGCCAGGCACCAAGCCACCAGCCATGTCCCCCTACCGAATGTCTCCCCCTGAGCTTGAGGAATTGAGGAGGCAGCTCAAGGAGCTCACAGAGACCGGGAAAATCCGCCCAAGCAAGGCCCCCTATGGCGCACCGGTACTCTTTCAGAAGAAGCATGATGGAACACTACGCATGTGCGTAGATTACCGGGCACTCAACAAGGTAACCATCAAAAATCGCTATCCCATCCCTTTGATTGCCGATTTATTCGATCGACTTGGGGGAGCTCGAGTGTACACCAAGATGGATTTACAGAAGGGTTACTACCAAGTTCG